AATATTTATTAAATAAATCGTAGTCTTAATACTTATGCACAACCATTTTATGAATTAAGAACTAAAAAATTATTCATTATAATATTTGTTTTCATTTTTTTTACACATACGAAAACTTGGCAATTTAAACGGTTTACCTTTGAGAATCTTTCAGTATTTAGGTCCATACTTTCAAAATTTAGCCAAATGAATGACGTAATGAAAAAAGATTGCAACTATTTCTTTAAATATAAAAACTTATTCTGTTGTTCTAACCCTAAAAAAGTCTTAATCTTCTTCTAAACATGTCCAAATGGTCATAAATCAAAGGTAATCATAAGTCAAGATATAGCCTACACATCGTTTGATTAAAAAGCATATTCGGATAAGATAAATTAAAAACTTCTTTAATCATTTTTGTAGATTTATGGTGAAATTTATCCACCTTAATAGATTGCATTGCTTGTACCATCAATCCTACGCTCCATCTGTCATAATTTAAAGAATATCACTGTATGTGACCAACCAGAAGGAAAAATAGTTTCTGTCTTCATCAAGGTTTTCAGTTTAACAATCATATTTAGAAACTCGTTTTCACTTTTTAATACTGCCAGTCATATTGTAAAATATGATTTGCAATTTTGATAAAGATTAAATACGTAATTTTCTATTGTGACAGATATGCTGACGTTATCGGAGCTTCAAAAGGTGATGATACTCTAGAAAACAAATGATTTTGCATATTTATCAAACTGTCAGGTAACAAACTGTAAGAAATATTTGTATATTTTGATATTATTCGAAATGTTAAAATAATATAAACGCTAAACGTTTTAATTAATCAAGAGGCAAGCCTATATCCTGTCTGTCGTATTGTCAACAGTAGACGTGATGCATAGACTTGGTCATTAGTCTGACAACTCATTGTAAACATTTAATCGTTTACACAAGATTAAAACTATTTTAAAAATATTTGAATTTTGTTATTCATCCTCTATTTATTTATATCATGATATCATGATTAAAAATATAAATAAATAAATATATATAACACACATAAATATCTTCAAAGATTAAATTGATGAACATAAGTAGTACGCTTATAAGGCCTATAAGATGAATAGTCATAGTCTAATTCGAAGCACGTGTTACGGATATTTCGACCCCATTGGTTGTCTCTATTAGGTATGATTAAAAGGCCTTCTTAGTACCCACAGGGCAAGAAGAGTTTAAAAAAGCACATGTTAACGATAAAAATTAAACTTACAAATGTATCTTATATCTAAGATAACGTGATGATTCGCCACGTCGAAATAATTACTAAAGTTTAAAATAATACCTTTGTAATATTGACAAATCGATTAATAATGTATAAATTAACCGTGATAGGTATAAGAAATTGTCTGATTTAATTATATAATTTCTCAATACGAATTATGTTTTACTATGTATTTGTAATATACTTTAGCCTATATAATAAGATCCTAAAAGATAGACAAATTCCAGACTTGTCTGTAATTTTATATCTAATATCAAAATGAATATGAGCACATTACAGTACGATATTGGATACGACGATTGAAAGAGTATACTGTTTACATTTTCAATTGAAATCATACCAAATGTATAGTACGTTATACTGTATATATACGTACAAAACAAAACAATTCTTTACTATAAATAAACTAGAATTTAAATGAGTTCTTAATAAACATATTTATTTTAACAGGAATTTCATAAGATGTAATTTTATGCGAGAATTATTTTAAATATGACTCTGTTAAAAATGAATTTGTAAATACAGTACAATTTTCTCATAATAAACAGTTATATTTTTAACCCCAAAATATGGTAAACAAAATAAACATTAGTAAAAAAGATAAATAAAATAAAATAATAAATGATAAATAAATAGAAACTTGATGAATATATCAAGTTCTTATTTATCATTTTTCAATATTTTATGAATTTCAAAACTCAATTTTGACGAGAAAATTATTTGAAGCAATTATATGAATAAATATTTTTTCTAAATATAATATTTAAATTCAAATAAATAATGCTTTATATAAGCGTATTTGCGATTATTTGGTATATTTGATTTATTAGATTGTAAATTCAAAAGGATTGTTTAATGAGATAAGGCTATGCAATACGGGAGCGATCTACCGAAGAGGAATGCTTCTCGGAAAGACTTTCTATGGGGAAACTGATTCCTATTTAGGTGTTAGACAAGTGAAAAAGACCCAGAAAACTCCACGTGGCTAGCTCGTTGGGGAAGCACGAACTCCCATTAACTACTGTATTCAGTGGTTTTATCCACTTACTTGTTACCCACTGGTGAGCCATAACATCAATGGGTGATAATACAACAATAACTGGACAATAATAGGTTCTTCAACAATAACTGAACAATACGCACGTTTCTAAGCTAAGAAATTGTTCAAGATCACAATTTTTATATTTTTGTCAACAATTTATCTTGTTCATCTATGAATATAAATCTTCATGATTTCTAGACTGCTTAATCTCTTCCAAATATAAGCATGTGTACAGGGCGAATTTAGGGGAATATGCAGGGCGCAGCTACATCCACTTTCTGGGATTTTTCTGAAGGAAAGACATTTAGTAATTAATTATGTACAGGGATAATAGCGGATCCGTAAGTCTTCAAAGGGTGCGGGAAGGGTTAAATATTCAACATACAGTACTATAATTATGTATTAAATATATAATTCAAAAACAGTCCATAAATTACACACTTAATTTTAATATACCGTGAATGAAATAATGTTAAGAATCAGTATTACATAAAACACTAAATCCGTTTATTTTTAAGAATAAATTATTTAAAATGCTAATAGTTATAATAATTGCTATAGATATATATGTATATTGTAGTCTTTTTTAGCTCTAGATTAATCTAAATCGTCTTTCTCTCCTCACCACATGGGTTAAGTGGACAAGATGTTATTTTTCTAAAAAATTCTTTTTTCATGGTCAGATGTTTGATGGCACAATAAGATCTCTTTTCTTTGATATCATCTGCGTATCCTGTTCTAGATCTTCCTCCTCCTGATTTTTCCCCTCAACTTCAAGATTTATGGAATACCTATTTGTCTCACAAAATGTTTAATCATACCAAGCTCTCCAATTTCCATTTCTTGCTTCAAATTTTCTAGTTTTTCGCACTTCTTCAGTAATTTATTGTTTCCAGGGATTACGCTGGCTAATGCCCGAGGAAACTCAATAATGCACTTCTATGTTAGGGACGATTCTCTATGTTAGTAGAACTAGGGTTATTCATTTGATCTCGTATTTCATGTTATCATACAATAAAAGATGAATATAAAATTGTGGGTTTCCGTTTCCTTTCATTCTCGATTGTGATAAACCAAAATAACTAAACATTCTCCACAAGAAAACTAAATTAGCTTTATGGTTTCCACTACTAATCTAAATTATAGTGTTATAATTGTGATTATTTTATAAATAGTCTACCGGCCAGGTGGCCGAAGCGATTAAGACATCAACTACTGCTCCGAAGGATCTGAGATCTATCCCAAGCAGCCTAAAAACCTCAGGAATTGTTCGAATGTGGTCTATCCAGTATATATAGAGCTCTTCCTTTCATTATCTGGCCGTCTTGTTAGTCTAGAAAAAGGACCTCTTCGTGCCAATTTGTTTAAATATTCAATTATATACCTTGTTTAAATATACAGAAATATTATATCTAAATTAGTATGAGTTTAGTGAAATATTAATTAGAAAGTAATTGAAATTTTGAAATTCTAACAACGAATTTTAATTGATTCACAAGTTTAATTTATTTTTAATTGACGAAAACAGAACAACGTTATTAAGTTAAAGTATAGCCTACAATATCTGTTTAGGCTAACGTTATCGAAAGATTAATTTCAAAAACTTGCTAAATCCAATTTCTCAGCTGAAATTAAAGATGTTTTAGAGCTTCTCAATTCGACAAATCATCGATTGACAAAAAAAATAATCATTAGAAGAATAAAAGAAATGAAGTCGGAACAACTTGCCAGAAGTAACATCAAGTCACTCTGAAAAATCATAAAAATTTTGTCACTAAGTACAATCTTTTCTTTGTTTAACGTTGTGGTAAATTCCAGAAAATCACGGTGTTAAATGAAACAGACCTCAAAATCTGCGTGTTAAGTTTTTGGCGCGCCTTCCATTAGCCATTATTTTATTATTTAAGCAACTAAATAAAGAAAATCCATAAATTTAGTTGGAAACTTCAATATTAAAATCAGAATATTTACTACAAAATTATATTTTTTATTTGTTTAATTTAATTTAAAGTACTGTGATAGACTCTACTTGTTATTCGGATTTCCTTTATAACTAACTTGCGTGTTATAACTAAAGCGTTAGTTATTGTTTACTAACAACAAGTAATTTGTTCAAAAAGTAATCAAATCAACCAAAATCATAATTTAAAGATAAACTATAATTGTAAATGTTCCTTACTTTACGTAATTTTTTCATTCTCAACATGGTTGTTGTTCTTTGTTTTCTTTCTGATTTTTCTTCTTGAAAATATATTTTTGAAATTACCAAAACATATACAAAAACTGTACTTAAAAAAAGGGTTTAGTTTTTTTTCCTTTAACGTTGCGACGGTAAAAAAGAAAAACTTGTTAACCGAAGCAATGTTAAATAAGAACTTGCTGTATTTGAATTTGAGTCATATATGGAGATAATTTCCTGTTTGAAAGTATTTTGACAGCTGAATTATCTAAAAATCTAAGCGTATTGTCTTAGATACGCAACTGTTCGAAAAGTTAAAGTATAAAATAGGAGTCCATAAGTACTTTATGCCAATTAATATACTAAGTAAGTTCACTACAATACTAATAAATCAAATTTAGTGTCTTTTGAAATGAATCTTTTAATTTTTTAACCTAATTATATTTTTACAAACAATACATTAATAGAGGGAAAATAGCAATTTAATTTTTAAAAAAAAATTAAAGAGTGTATACAATTTAATTTTCCGCAAGAAACTGCTGAACTTTTCTGAATTTTTATGCAAACGAGATAAACGGGTTTGCATTTTATGTTCTGAACAAAATAGACAAGCCTTTAGGAACTTACCTTAAAAATAATTATATGATAGATAAATGGAATAAGGCAATGCAACACATAGGCGATCTATCGAAGAGTGCTTCCCAGAGAACTTTCTATGAGAAACTGACCCCTATTTATTACACACGTGAAGAAAACCTGGGAAACTCCACGTTTGTCAGACACGAAATCCACAACTACCGGTGTTCAATGGTTTTATCCACACAACGAACAATTATATCAAGAAAATAAGACAAAGAATCGTAGATAAGAATTCATCAAGAAGCTAAAAATTAAATTGAATTCTTACCAAAGTTTCGCTTTCTTATGTCAATGATTGCAAAGGAATATCTTGTAACAGGTAAATTTTCAATTATCCATATTTTATATTTATATGAATGTTAGTATCGTTGTATAAATCGAACTATTCATTTAAGGAATGACCTACAGTTATCATTTATACAAAAAATTACTGTAAAATTAATTGTCGTTAAGGGATATCGACAAAGAAAAATTACTAAGAATGGAAAAATCTTTTATAATCAATAATAAAAAACAATTAACATTTTTTCAAGTAAATATACTACTTTTTTTATGCTGTTGCAACGTATTTCACTTTACAATAGTTCAGTAATGAATAAATTTAATAGACGGAAATTTCAACAGGTTGAAGTATCCACATATCACTTTATAGTGAATATCCTTTAAAAAATTCTGCAGTTAAAAAAATTATATGATAATAAAAATACATCGATTACTAAAGGGAGAAAAAATTATCAAATAATTATTGTTTTGTCCTTTTAATAAATGTATAATATATATTTAAAGCCGTGTATTAATCGAAAACAACGAGAATAGGATAAGAGGATGTAATTTTCTGTATAGAAAATTCATTGGTGATCGATTTTTTTTTGTAATGTTTGTTTGTTTTAGAATATGGAATTAAACTGATATACAAACAATAATTTATTTTAAGAAATAAAAACTAACTTTTATAATATTTGACAGCTAATTAAATTGCATACGTTATTAGAATTATATTCCGCTGAAAATGTTTACGTTCTTACTACTTTTCGGCCATTTTCGTTTCGATGATGTGAAGTTCGTAAGTGCATTGTTCCAATTGATTTAAGTCTCACGTAAAAGTCAACAGAACAGGAAAAGTTAGTCATCGTTCACATTGTTTTCCTATCCGTATTCAACCATAAATTAATCTTAAGTGAAACAAGTCTCTGCATAATAAACTGTCTGTTAGATTCACAACGAATTTAACTGTACACACTATAAAAACGCCATGATATTTTTCTACATAGAATTTATATCCATCAACGCTTCTAATTAAGATTTAATATTAATGATTTTTTTCTATATCATATACACGACAGTGTAAATTTTCCATAGGTTAGGAATACAACATCGTTTTCATCAATTTTTTTTCCTACATAATTTACAAATGAATTAATCCATAAATTATTCTTTCCATAAACAAATCCTACACATATAAACAATTTTTAAAACATCCTAATAATTTTCTACAGAAGAATCGGAATAAACTTTAATATCACATATTATTAGCATACGATTCTTTACAGGAAATTTATTCGGAGTTCCCACGCCAAAAATATTTTTTTTTATATTAAATAATAATAATTTTAACGTATGTTTATAAATGTAGACTACCAGATTTGAACTTTATTAATATTTAATTTTTTACTGTATTGAACTTAACTATGTTAACAATATATATTTAAATCCAGTAGAAAATTTACTTATTAGACTACCTGTTGATTGTTAGAAATTAGACTTATTCCATAAATCTAACCCATTAAAGTTATTTATCTTCAATTTATTTATTTAATACATATACAGGCCTACATATGTATATGTATATATATGTTTAAATATAATTATAAATTAATTTTTTAATTTTTCTTGATATATTGTTTACTTATATATTATGTCTAACCCCACTCAAGATATGAATAAAACCCTTCTATCTCCCTCTAGACTTAAAATCTACAAAATTCAAAGTATTTATGCTTCAAATGCAGAGAAAACTCTGCCAAATTAGGAGTCCATAAGTACTTTATGCCAATTAATATACTAAGTAAGTTCACTACAATACTAATAAATCAAATTTAGTGTCTTTTGAAATGAATCTTTTAATTTTTTAACCTAATTATATTTTTACAAACAATACATTAATAGAGGGAAAATAGCAATTTAATTTTTAAAAAAAAATTAAAGAGTGTATACAATTTAATTTTCCGCAAGAAACTGCTGAACTTTTCTGAATTTTTATGCAAACGAGATAAACGGGTTTGCATTTTATGTTCTGAACAAAATAGACAAGCCTTTAGGAACTTACCTTAAAAATAATTATATGATAGATAAATGGAATAAGGCAATGCAACACATAGGCGATCTATCGAAGAGTGCTTCCCAGAGAACTTTCTATGAGAAACTGACCCCTATTTATTACACACGTGAAGAAAACCTGGGAAACTCCACGTTTGTCAGACACGAAATCCACAACTACCGGTGTTCAATGGTTTTATCCACACAACGAACAATTATATCAAGAAAATAAGACAAAGAATCGTAGATAAGAATTCATCAAGAAGCTAAAAATTAAATTGAATTCTTACNTTAATCTAAATTTATACCTATTAATTAAATAACTATCCTTCAGAAAAGTACACACAGAATACAAATAAATTGTATTATATATAATATATATTTAGATTTATTATTAATAATCAGGTAGAACGTATGGTTTAATCTATATTAAGAACTCGAGTAATGTAATATTCATTAATATAAACATCCTGTTCTCAAGACGAATGTGTCGTAGGTGGTACTAGACTACACATGTTTAAAAGGACGTCATATCTTTATTCTCTACTTACATTAACCTACTTACTCATTGAAGAATTTGTCGGTCAAGATTAAATTTTTTATATATATATAAAATTTCATATACTGTACTATTGTATTATGAATATTTCAGAATAAGTAAAACATTGTAAATATTTCTAGCAATTACAGAGGCTTATATATATATATATTACAATAAATGATAATAAAGAGCATCGCTGATGAATAAATATGGTCATCTGTTTTAATATCTCGATTGAATAATTGCACTAATATGGCATGACTAAATGTAGCCAGGTTTAAAAATAGAACTCCTACACATAAATTGATTGTATGGTCTTTTTTTTTAATACGAAATATTCTTGTTGAATGTATATAAAAATTTTCATCTTTATGAGAAAACGACGATATTGTTTATTAACAATACTTATGTGTTTTGTTATTTCAGTAGTAAATAGTAATATTAGACAATATGTACATTTCTACTCATAGAAGTATATATTTTAACACAGGAACACAGGATCACACACACTACTAGAAAAACCAGTTTTTAATGTAACTTATAAATTCGATTCATTCTAATTTTATAATGATTAAATTCTGTGTATATAATATTTTTCTTTTATTTTTTTATTATTTTTTTTTTCATTAATTTTGCCTTAAAATGAATTTTCTTACCGAAAGAGTCAACGTCCCTCATTGTGTAATTGTCGTCCGAAGTTGATCCATAATTCTTATCTCGGGATGAAGAAATGAATCGAGTCACTTTAAATCGCGACATTTTTATACGTTCCTTAATATAAAAGCGTTAAAAAAGTCCTTTTTCGCCCCCAAATCACTTCTATAAACTCCCTCACATAACAAATAATGAAATGACAGATCGTGCTTAACACTGTTTCCAAACGACCCTAATCCCGTGTGACGTCATCACACGTAGAGAAGCGTTTTGATTGGTTTTCGTTAGTAAAGAAATGAATCTTTTAACCAATTACATCATAAATAGTACTTTTGTTGTTAATTCGTGTTAAGTTCTATTTATATTAATTTTAACGCGTGTAAATGATAATTTAAAAAAACCAATTCGTTTTTAAAAACATTTTATAATTATTAAATTACAGACAAATTAATTCGATTTAGCTTTTAAAACTATAATTACACTTTCTAACTTAAAAACAATTAAAAAAAAAGTTTTCAGAATACGTTTAATTGTATAATTTATCGAATTTTTCTTTATTTTAATATAAATTATTGCATGTTTAATATATTTTTTTTAAAATTATTTAAAATAATTATAACTTTTAAAATTCAAATTTAAATTAATTTCCCTCTAGCAGACGACGTGTAAGGCTTATTACGTAACACGGTAAACTTTTCGTCGTAAAATAATTATTAAATTCAAAATTTTTTAAATGAAATTTACTGTTTATTTAAATTTTAGTATTATTATATTATGTTTATTATTAAACTAAGTATTTTTTATTATTATTATTTTACATTAATAGTTGTATTATTTCTCTGTTTTAACTTCTGTCCAATGATTGTTAAGGGAGAAGGTTCATGGTGCAGGTGTTTCTTTTTTCTCTAAATTAATAATTTATTGTGAATTTTTACGAATTTTTTTTATCATTTCAAGAAGTTATGTAAAAATTTATTCCTTTAAAACATGTAATAGATGTAGATACGTAATATATATATATATATATACATATATCTATTACTATAATTTACATGTGTATAATACATATATTTGTGTACACAATACATATGACATTAATAATTCAGTTTAATATTATATGTATATATTACATGATATATATGCAGTGGTGCATTATCCTATGGGCAAAAAGTGCAATTGTCTGGGGCCACCAACAGGTGGCCACAAACCAATCTTTTATAAGAAAATATTTGGCCCACCAGTGGCCAAGCAGTTCTGTTCCCTGGACACTGGGAATTCGGTTGTGGGTTTGTTCCTCACTCAGACGGGCTGACCATGTGGAGTTTTCCGGGGTTTTCTCCACCTGAATTGGGACCCGTTACCCTTAAAAGACCTCCCATAAGACATTATTCGCTGCATAATGACCATCATAAACACTCAACTACTATTACATGACAATTATGTCGCACTTTACCATTGGATGATATAACCTAGAAGCTCATGCCCAACTAACTGATACAAGACAAGAAGATATTTTCCCAGAAAAATGACTTAAATCAGTACTACTTGGGCCCCCTAATTCAAATTCACCTGGGCTCTATGAAGCTATAACATGCCACTGCATATATGTATGTATTACACATTATGTATATGTACTTTACATAATATATATGTATATATATTTAATATAAATTTATAATACACTATATCAAAATTATTTTAAGAGTAAAGTTCATAACATAATTTATATATAGATTATAATATATATACAAATTATTTAGGAATTTTAGAAATTTAATTATTTTATATTATCCGTTTATGCTAAAATTAGAAAAATTAGTAATTATTACTGTTTCTTATAATAATTAAAAAATTTACAAAATTAAAATTAAATAATTATTATAAAATAAATAACCTACAAGTATAAACTTTTATGATTCTAGAATATTTCTAATTTTAGCACTAAACAAAATGTCAAAACTTTGGATGATTTCTTAAACTTAAATATTATCAAAATTTCAATCAAAAATTACTAATGAAATGTATTATACATTAAAAATTTTTTAATTAAGATTAAGTATTTTGGATGAATTTTTATCTTATTTAAACAATAGATCAAATACATTGGCTATATACATCTAATCTAATAGCCACATGATTTATTGGTTTTAATATGAAAATTAGATCAATAAATCTATTTTATATATAACTAACAAAGAAATTATCTTAACTACTATTTAAAAATATTTTATAATACATTATTTTAAATGATTTTCTCTGATATAATCAATAAATTTAAATCAAAAACCTTACAAACTAGCATGAACTTTTATGGAATAAACCTCCTAAAAGTTTTATTGTAAGTTTTTATGGTTTAAGTTATATTTATCCGTTTGAATGAATTACAGTAAAACTCTTTTAATATTTATGTAAAAAGTGTAAAAATTTCAGAAAACCATATAAATAATCTGACATTCATATTATATTATTGTTTTGTTTTTCATTTTTATAAAAGCATATTAATGAAATAAATTTTTTATATATTTTAAAAAATTAAAAAAAAATGCTTTTATTGGTCATGTTTTTCAAGATTGGGGTGGAGACTCATCCCATCCTCACCATATATATCACAATCACTACAATGCATTTACATATGCATATATCACAATTAAATTCTACATTTAATTATGTTTATTTGGTTTTGGAATGGGGAGGATGGTGTAGATGAGGCCACCCCTCTAAAATATCTATAAAAGATATTGTCATAAGACTTACTTGTTAGATCAAAGTTCCAGCCTTCTATTTTAATTAAGAATGGATGAAATTTGAGTTAGCTTTTGGGATTACATAGCAAACTAAATAAAAGTGTTTAGTAAAAATACATCCATGTATCAAATTAAAAAAATTATTAGTTTTCACATATATTATTGTAATAATGATTTTAGATATTTTTCATTTAAATATTTAATAAAAATCAAATATTATACTATTAAAAAATAAAAACTTCAAAAATTTCAAAAGTTATCCATAAAAATATATAACATTACTTGAAAGTGTTTTGCAATATAATGATTTCTTATATCATATTACATTTAATTTACATAACTATTTTTACTAATTAAAAAAGAAAAAAGAAAAATTATTTTAAAATTTAACAATCCACGAAACGCAGTGTTAAGTGGTTTGAAGTCGTTTATTTTAAAATTTAATTGAGAGATATTAAATTTCCATAAATATATATATAAATACATACATTTTTAATATATTTTATTTTATTATATTCTTGTAAATTTATAGTTTATAGAATTATTATATGTTCTTTTATAGAAATAATTAATAATTTTAATTTATACTAAACTATTACATTATATAAATTTACTAAGAAATAGAATCATTATAATATATAATGTTGAATTCTATTTAAATTAATTCTTCCAAGCCCAGAATTATTATTTTTAAAAGATAAATTTGGCTGGATTAGAAATATTACTTTTCATTCTGATCAGTTAGTAAATTAGTAATATCATTAAAAATTTTTAAGACATAAAAAGTTATTTTAATGAAAAAAAAACAAATATTCCTATATTATAAAAACAAATCTTACATAAGAATGATTTTAATATAAAAATTATAACTGTAATTTAATTTATGTAATAAAATAAATTCCAAATAGAAAAACAATAAGAAATTGCTTGGAAGCAGACTTTAACAGTATTCCAAACATTTCCAAACCCAAAGATTCATCTTCAGAAAAGCACTTATAAGAGCTGTTTCTTCTTTATTTATATATTTATATAAATAAAGAAGAAACAAGAAGAACTCTTATTTTATATATTATAAAATAAGAGCTGTTTCTTCTTTATTTATATATTTTAAATGACATTATATTATATTAAAAAATGGAACCTTTTTATTTCTGATTATATTTAACAATGAACATTACTTATTTTTTTATATTGTATTAATAGATTATAAAGATGACAGATTGGGTCCATTGCAATACTTGTTTTAGTTTATTAGGAAGTGGAAAAAGATTTTTATTAACTAGCTGTGGTCATATTTACTGTAATGATTGTGCTACTGGTACTGATTTATTATCCAATAACTTGATAATTTTAATTGAATGTATCTTAACTATATTAATTACATTTCTTATAATTTATTATTTTCAAGGATCACAAATGAACTGTCAAATATGTGGAAATTCATGTACAACAATTCATCTGACTACTCAAGTAAGTAACTTATTTTTAATGTCTTTATTTTCATTTAATAAAAAAATTAACAAAAACATAATATTTTATAAATAAACGTTGTATGATTCCTTGATAACTCACCATTTAACATATTTTGTTTAACATATATGAATATTACTGAATTCTGTTGCATAACCAGCTCATAACGAGCCCCTTGGGTAGGCCTCAGAGTAAAGAAGGAATGGGCATTCTCGATGACGACCAAAAATCCCGGATCAAGGAGGAGAGAGGATATCGCACATGCTCAACAGAGGAAGTGGGACTTTTTTTTGGGAAAAAGAAAAAGGAGAAGATGTGTAGACAAGAGAATCATAAGTTTTTTTTGTGTGTGTTGTTTCCTTTGCTTTAGTGTCTGTTATAGTGAAAGGACAGAGAAGTGGTTGGAAGAACTAAAATAAACTTTAAGTTCCTTGCATTATCATAGAGTCATAGAGTATGTGATTTATTTTTTTGAAGTTTCTTTTTGTTTTGTTCCTGCATGGGGAATACTCTAAAGATCAAGTATGTCTCTACAATATACTGTAAATTAAAATATCTTTCTTAAATTTTGCATTGATTACATTATATAATTATACATTATATAATAAGACTTTGGTAAAATGCATGGCTTTATATAATAAGACTTTGGTAAAATGCATGGCTGATATTAGATATCATTTTACCAAAATTAATTATAAATTAAAAGTCAATTATATTAATAATTAAATATCAATTCTTGTGTATTCATTTAATCTCTGACTCCAAAATATTTTTGACATGATTGAAAAGTTCAATTTACTATAGACTGTATGTAGCAAGAAAACTACAGATATATTAGGGATTGAGTTGTTGTTATGCCTTTTGTGTTTTTATTTTAGTAAAAAACATTTTGTATTTTTATTTTTTATTGTATTTTTATTGTATTTAGGAATTTTTAAATTCCTATACTTTATTTTAAATTATTCGTCTTGTTCATTATATATATATATATATTAAAAATGAAGAAGTGTGTTTTCAAAAATATTCTACTAATGATAAATTTGTGAATTGCTTTATTATAACAAAATAGGCAAGCAATAATTAATTTAATTTATTAATATTGAGTAGTAACTTAGTAGGATACATTAATATTTACTATTTTATTAAATCTAGAGAAATGAAACATATATATTGAATGTTAACCAATGTTGGCTTTTCACTGTGGTTTGCATATCCAATCTGGTAGCAAATGTATTTTCTTCATTTTTTACATAATAACAAAAATTTATTATCTATTAATTACAAGAACAATAAATTATTTATAATGAAAAAAATATCAATATCAATGCTTTACAAATTAAAATTGCATTAAAAGCAAATCTATGCAGAGCATTTTAAAAAAGATGGGTTTTATAAAAAAAACACTATTTTTTTCATAACATCTGTTTTTAAATTTTACAATATAGGTATGTAGAGTAACAAAAAACAATAGACTAAGGAGGAACTGAATACGTACAGAATAAGTCTGTTATATGCAATATACTGTTTAATTTTATTTCATTTTTAAATTCTTTCCAAATGGAGAGGACTCTCAAACTCTTCACAGTACAACCAAAAAGTACCTAAATATAAATTTAGGTTGAATGTTTTCTTTATTGCTTCTGTGGAGAAGCACTCAATCTTTAGAATATTCCTCATGCAAGAATAAAAAAAAAAAAAACTTTGAAGAAATAAATCAAGCACTCTACGACTCCAATGCAAGGAACTTAAAGTCCATTTTAGTTCTCTCTGTTCATTCGCTATAACAGATATTAAAACAAAAGAAACAACATAAAAAAAAGGAAATAAATTTGCGACTCTCTCATCTACACATCATCTCTCTTTCCTTCCAAAAAGTCCCACTTCTTCTGTTGAGTATGTGTGATATTTCTCCTTGATCCAAGTTCTTTGGTTGTCATCAAACATGCTCATCCAGACCAAGGAGTTGGTCACACAACAGAACATGTGGTCTTCAGACCACACTTCTTTTTACTTTGTTTTTCCTCTTTAGCAGATTTCTTTAATATTTTGAAATAAGTTTATAAAATAATCTGTTTGAGTAGGGGTAATTTGAAATCTGTGTCATAAACATATTAGTTGAAAGAAGTTTTTGCCACAATGATAAGAGAAGATGACATTTTAGTGGGTAGTTCTGGCTTTTGACAAGAGTGAAAAGGCATTGACCATGTATCAATGTGCTAAGTGTGTGGCTTTTGATATGCAAAATTTGAGTCTTATGGCTATTAAACATTAGTTTTGTTGTATACCATTGGATTGTGATGTATCAGGAAAGCATCTTAACAAGGGACAGTTTTCTCATGTCAGTCTTATATTTTAATAAAATACATTGTAAAAATTGTTTGTAAAAATTGCAATACCATGAAGGAATCATGCAAGTGAATTGAAACTTACAGGAAATAAAAAGTAGGGCATGACATGCAAATGATTAGAATATTAGAGTGATAGTGCATGAATAGGCTAAGAAGCATCCTCTGAACAGATAGATATGAATAGAGGGCAGTAGCAGAAAGTTAGAAGTGGTGTATCATTGTCTGTAACTGGTAAATGTTTCATTAGAAGTCAGTATGCCTTTTCAACAACTAAGGGCATCATATGAGCCAGTTATGGAGTTTGAACAGGAGCGAATGATAGGCCTGTGTGAAGGGGAATTTTTTTTATCACAAAATTGCAGCTCATGGGGCATAATGCCATGACAGTGATATGAGTGTAGAAGCAGTGGGTTGAAGAGTACCAGACAAGTCACAAATCTGGCAGTGGACAATGAAATGTTATGTCAGCATGTGATGACAGACACCTCATCTGTATGACAATTGCAGATCATACAGCTTCATCTCAACAGTTGACACAACATTGGAACACTGCTTCAGGTGTGCCATTGTCTGCATCCACAGTTTGCCAACATCTGCTGCACCATGCAAGAATTCCTTTGTGCAGGACTCCCCTGATACAAAACCATCAACACCTGCAGCTACAATGGACTCATCAACACAGCTACTGGCATGCCAATTGGCAACTAATTGTCTTTTCTGATAGATCCTGCTTCTATTTAGAGTACAGTGATGGCCAAGTACGTGTTACATGCTATAGAGGTGAATGCCATCTTTCACAATGCATTATCCAGTGTCATACTGGGCAATCACAAGGCATGATGGTCTGGGATGCTATTGCATATCATGGACAATCTTGGCTGCTCAGAATTGTGATGCAGCAACTGCTACATCAGAGAAGTTGTGAAGCCTGAACTCTTTCTTCAACACATTCCTGGAGATGTATTTCAACAGGACAATGCCTATCCACATTTTCCTAGAAATTTCTAGATTTCAGCACAATAGATATCACTTCTTCCTTGGCCTGCCCATTCACCAGACATGTTGCCTATTAAACATGTCTGGGATTTCATTGTAAATACTTCTTTTCTGCATGGACTTTAGTGAAATGCTGTTTCAATAGTTTTTATGACATGAAATATCTTTCCATACCGTCGGCATACATGCAGCTGGAAACGGAACACTGAAAAATGGAATTTTCTGTTGTAGATTTGGAAGATTGATTCACATTCTGAGGATGCATTTCCTGCAATTGTAATTTAAATCTTTATTCCTCAATCTTAAGTATTTGCAAATTTCTAAATAGTGATATGTTCTTCTTTCATTAAACTGTTGGAGTGTAAGATGAAGTTTACATCCACATAATAATTTACTTAGTTTTCGGCAGCCTGTGATGAAAGAGCAAACTTCTAGCGAAATTTTAAGTGTTTGTTAGCCAATTCATTGTTCGTAATATGATTTCATTAGCTTACATATTTGTTTACAACACACCTCCAAAAATTAACCACCATTTTCTGTTTTCAATATTCTTAAATTTTATATATAGTCTTTTTTTTTTTTTAACTATTAAAAATTATTATTTATCTTAAAACATGAAAATAATATACTGGTAGTTAAAATTTAAAACTTAAGGATTATAAAAAAATTTTATTCAAATTATTTTTAAATTAGATGAAACCTGATGTTGAAATATATTTTATGGATCCTCAAGATTTATTGAAAAAATATATGAAGCAGTTACAACAAGTAAGTATAAAAAATAATTAAAAATAGTAACAAAAAATAACAGCAATTAATAATACTGTATAATATAAAATAATGAAAAAATAATTGAAATCATATAAGAAAATCAACTTTAAACACATTAAAATGCATTTATTTGGAATCAGAAGTTGAATAATTAACCTAATAAAACATTGATTAATTAAAATGACTGTTAATAAATAATTTTCAGTTCCTATTTTATTTTTCAAATATAGACATTCTGTGAATAAATTATATATAAAATTTCAAAATTACTTATAATAGTATGTAAAGAAAAATAAAATTATTTTACAGAATTACAGAATCAGTGTAACTTATTAAATCTCAATTACTTACATATATTGCATACATTTAATTTATGCAATACATAAATTTATTTAAAGTTTGCATATCTATACTAATTTTTTTTTGTAGAAAAGGGCTGGCAGAGTTACAATTTAATAAAAAGTAAAATACAGCTGGATACGAGTCCAATTTTGCTTGCCACGTCCAATCACCAGGAACAACTATTTCCATTGCAGAGACAACTTTTCTTTAGAGGCTATGCCTCTGCACAAATATGTAAAACAGTTTAAAATGTTCACAGGTGACAATCCCAACACAAGTAAAAATATAATATTTCTTTGTAGAAAAGGGCTGGCAGAGTTACAATTTAATACATACAGAGTTACATGGCAAGCAAAATTGGACTTGTATCCAGCTGTATTTTACTTTTTATTAAATTGTAACTCTGCCAGCCCTTTTCTACAAAGAAATATTATATTTTTAATTGTGTTGGGATTGTCGTCTGTGAACATTTTAAACTGTTTACATATTTGTGCAGAGGCATAGCCTCTAAAGAAAAGTTGTCTTTGCAATGGAAATAGTTGTTCCTGGTGATTGGACATGGCAAGCAAAATTGGACTCGTATCCAGCTGTATTTTACTTTTTATTAAAAATCTATACTAATATTATAAAGAGGTAATGTTTGTAAGTTTGTATGCAAGGGCTAATCTCCAAAACTACTTGTTCGATTTCAAAAATTCTTTCACCAATATTTACAATGGAACTTCAGGGTGGACATAGGCTGTACATTATTCCGTTAAACATTCATATAAATTAAAAGATATCAACTGGGGTTAAGGCTTTTATGTCCAACAGATGGTGCTACGAGTATGATGCCCTAAGTTTGCTTTTCTGTGAGGATGAACTAAAGTAAATCATCTTCTATAGGGTTGGCAACTAAGTGATTGCGGATTTTAAATAAGAAGGAAAATTCAAAATTTTTGCTTAAAAATATAACTTTATTCAATTAGATATTGTCCATTTTTGTCAATGACCTCTTGCCATTTTTCAGGCAGTGTCATAATTCTATGTTCATAAAACTTTCTGATTTTTGCCAGCAAAAAACTGAATTAAATGTGTTTTTACATCATCAGCATCATTAAAAATTTTACCATTTAAGGAGTTCTGCATGGAACGAAATAAATGGTAATCTGAAGGCGCAAGGTCAGGGCTATATGGTGGATGTGATAACACACCCAACCTAGCTCCAATAATTTTTGGTGAGTGACCAAAGATGTGCGGGGCTTTGCATTATCATGCTGGAAAACAACATCCTTACAATTTGCCAATTCTGGCTGCTTTTCTTGAACTGCATTGCTTAGTTTGGCGATTTGTTGAACATACACATTTGAATTAATCGTTTGGTTTCTTGGTAAAAGTCCAAAGTATAGAATTCCTTTATAATCCCACCAAACTGACAGCATAATCTTTTTTTGGCGAATCTCAGCTTTTGGTGTCATCTGGGCTGGTTCATCTCGCATCACCCACGATTTTTTCTGATTAACGTTGCTATAAACTATCCACTTTTCATCGCCAGCAATCAGTCGTTTCAGAAATGGATCAATCGTTGCGTTTCAGAAGTGAATTGCAGATGCTAACACATTGCATCAAATGAATTTCCTTAAGCTGATGAGGGACCCATAAATCCAGTTTCTTGACATAGCCAAGCTGTTTTAATTTTTTTGAATGCATGTATGTGATACATTGAGCTTCTGTGCAATCTCATGCGTTGTGCTATGACGATCTCAATCGATAATGGCCTTGATATGGGTCTCATCAACTTCAACTGGACGGCCAGATCATTGAGCATTTTTCAGTTTTCACTGAAAAATCACCAGAACAAAATTTGGCAAACCAATTTTGACACTGCCTTTCTTTCAAGGCTTCATTTCCATATACAGCACATAACTTCTTGTGTGCTTGTGATGCGTTCTTGCCTTTTCGGAAATAATACAATAAAATATGTCTGAAATGCACGTCTTGTTCTTCCATTTTTAAATTGGGATAAAAATGAAACTTAATAACTAATCGATACAATTTTTTTACTAAATTAAAGGTGGAAGTCCAAACAACAAGAAAATAATATAGGTTAAATGCTTTGAACACGATGACAAAGCAAAAAAATGTGCTAAGGCCACCTATTGACAAAATCCGCAATCACTTAGTTGCCAACCCTATATCTAGCTATATAAATAAAAATGTAATGTTCGTTTATTCCTACCAATTCCTTTGAAATTTTGACACACGTGTTTTTATATAATACTAGCAGGTAGGCCCGGCGTTGCTCGGGCAAAAGTAATGATAAGGTTGACTACAGTATAACGTAATATCTTCACTATCTGTTTTCACAGAATGCACCATTTTCCCCTGTTTCTAGACTAATTACAAAATTTTTGGACGGGTCTAAAATTATGTTCGATTTCCTGCAAAACAAAAAAAACTGCATCTGCGTCTTGCACGTCGCTTTCTCTTAGCAATTCCATTGTTATGTAACACTTCCATTGTTGACACGTTTATTGTTGACACTTCCATTCTTAACACTTCCATTGTTACTTAGCACTTCCATTGTTGAAACCTTAATCCTATCTCTCTCAACCACGGGGAAATTCCGAAAAATCCCTTCTTAGTGTGCGTTTTTGTGACGTACCCTAACTATGTACCAAATTTCAACTTTCAAGTTTGGGCTCTATGCTTATTATTATTATTATTATTATCATCAACTCATCTCGATTATATATATAGATATGTGTCGAAATTTCCCCCACTGGGGGGGAGATGGACAGGATTAAGGCTTACCGTAAAGAACTCTGCTTCTATTTATACTATTTTAGATGCGGTTTTTTGCATTTTAATAGGGTATGTCAACAGAATATACACTAAAAAGGGATTTTTCGATATTTCCCCTGCGGGGGAGAGGGACAGGATTAAGGATTACCATGAAGAACTTGGCTTGTATTATACTATTTTAGATGCAGTGTTTTGCATTTTTGATTGCGTTTTAATAGGGTATGTCAAGAGAATGTACAATAAGAAGGGATTTTTCAAAAAATTCTCCCCCCTCCACGAGGGATGTGTTACACATTTATAATAGATACATTTTGAGCCACAACAACGCATGGCAGGGTTCGCTAGTATATATATAATTTAGATTTATATGATTTCAGATTTAATAAATTTATATTTTATGAATTCTTAAATGGATTTTATATATTTTATCTTTAATGTAAAATTATATAAATCTACAATACATATACATTTTAAATTAATATTTTTAAAGAAATGTAAGTTTTAAATTATCCAATGCAATTATACAATTTTTAAAATTAAGTTAAATTCATAAGAATATATATAACTATAATTTATTTTTTATTAGATTATTAATTTTCAAACTGGTCATAGAATGAGATTATCTGCTTATTTTAGGAAAGAGGTAAAATTATTTAATTTAAAAATTATATTAATTTTAATATTGTTTTTATAATTAAATTAAATAATAGCCATAAATTTATTATATTAAGTGAAATTATATAATTATTAATATTTTGAAGATTTATAATTCCCATTTTCAGTGGTATATTAATAATTTATATTTGTTTATATAAGAGATCAATAATATCCATAATTAATATTACTGATCATTATAATTAGTAACTATAAGAAATTGTTAATAATTGATAATGTGTTACATTATTGCTGTTATAAACATAATAAGTCATATATATTTTTTAACTCTTTCTGCTCTGTGGACAATCAATCAATCAATCAATTTATTTATTTGTACCAAATGAGTTGTACATGCCCTGGTCCCGCTGTAGGCATTACCAGGGAGGAAGAACATCAAAATTAGCAGTAGTATACAAGATAAATACATCAAAACTGAAAGACATTATACATAGGTTTTTTAACAATAAAAGAGAAAAACAAATTGAATTAAGGAATGCGACAGTTCTTGTCGCGTGTAGAACATACAGGGAGGACAAACAGACATGTTTACTGTAACATTAAAATACAGATAAATTAATTTTATCAAGACAATCTTAACGCATGTAGGAGTGAACAATACACATGGGAGAAACAAGCAAATGGAAATGTCCAAGTACAAGAAGAGTTAACTGTTAATAATCTTGTGCGTGACAAAGTTAATTTGCCTTGCCAGTTTCCTGAAGGTGTAGAAGATCTCTTTAGTGCGCCAGATATCCGAAGGGCGACAGGGCCACATAACACCAACTTCTTGTAAGAGGAGTTGCAGTTCGAGATGATCACGGTCTAAGATGACACAATCAAATAGATAATGTAAGGCACCGTCTTCTGTGTTACAAATTGGGCACCGCTCAGAAGATCTGTTTGTGAAACGAGCAAGATAGCTCAGGTATTTTCCATGGTTACTAAAGATTTGCGATGTACAGTAGTCTGGAGTATGCCAATTTATTTTTAAAAATTGTCTTAAGATCTGGGATAAACTTGTAGGTGATATGTTCAGAGTTATGATTCCAAGTGTTTTGCCAAAGTTCTATTGTGTCATTCCAGAGAAGGTGGTGTAACGATCGCAGGCTGATCTTGTTATAGGTGATCTGTAAAGAACCGTTCAAGGCTGCATCCTTAGCCAGGGAGTCTGCCCTCTCGTTTCCAGTGTCTCCCTGGTGAGCCCTTATCCATGTGATGGTAAAGGTGCATTCAGAAGATTGGGTTGCATTTTTAATGTAATCAGCCAGAGGATGTAACTTGTTGCTCTGCAGCAGATCTAGAGCTGACCGAGAATCAGTGTGTATGTGCACATGAATATTACTGTAGTTGTGATTAATGTAGTCAATGGCCATCCCTATAGCATATAGCTCGGCTTGAAACACGGTGCACCTGCTGTCAAGTCTGTACATTTGGTGGTGGACCTCAATATTATTTATATAAGCGACAAAACTACTCCCAACATTATCATTGATACGAGAGCCGTCCGTGAATACGTGTATATCGGCATTCTCAGAACTGGTAAATTTGCATACAGAAGTTTCTCCTGGTGAGCGAGTTTCTTTAAAAGAGGAAGGCCACTCGATGTCATTATAATTAATGGTGCACGAAGTAATCTCTACTGTCCCTCCCCATTTTAATTGTCGAAGTCGTCGCTTTTGTAGGATAGAAAGGTCTATAGGTGGCTTTTTTGCCAGGACTTGGAGGGAACTATTACTAGTTGTTCTATATGCTCTTGTGATGAGTAATAAGGCACGACGCTGGGAGGAGACGAGCTTTCTTTTAGGATGAACTTTGCGTGTGGCCCACCCCCAAGTGCCACACGCGTAGGTAATCACCGGTATGTAGATACTATCATAAATTATAGACATAGCGTCGCTAGAGAGGCCCCAGTCTCTCCGGGCCACCTGCGAAAAAGACTGCATAACTAATCCAGTCTTGTTTGTAATGTAGTCAATATGCCTATCCCAGGACAGGCGGAAGTCCAAAATAACCCCAAGATATTTTAGGGTCTGTTCCACTTTAATTGTATTGCCCTGCATCTTGATGTGCGGAGGACGTCGATACAGATTGGGATGACCTGATTTATTAAACACTATTGCTTTGGTTTTAACAGGATTGAAATATAGCTTATGCTTTACACCCCAATTGCTGACATGCTGAAGCATGTTGTTGGCATTACCCTCGAGGTCAGACCTAGACCGGCCCCCCAGCAGCAAGAAGACATCATCAGCATAAGCATAACTGCTAGTTTGCCCAAAGTTCTCACTAAGAAAAGCATCGAATGTAATGTTCCACAAAAGGGGTCCTATGACAGACCCCTGTGGACATCCCTTAGTGATGGGTTTGATGACCTGATGTTGTCCATAACATAAAATAGCACTGCGATCTGTCAAATAGTCACATAATAGTTTGTAGATGTTATGAGGGCAATTTATCTGATGTAAACGATGTAAAACTAGGGGCCACCAAGCACTATCAAATGCTTTTGAAATGTCCAGGCTGACCCCAGGACATACTTGTGATCCTCCAGCAGATGTTATATTTTGTCGACCACTGCTCTGTGGACACTAAGAGACTTTTTAAGCAAGTTCATTATGGGTTTGGCCAAGCCCACAATGAGGTGGAGTGGCCAGGTGGTGGGGGACAGAGCCGACATGTTTGGTTGGACCACCCACAAATAATACATGGGGATTTTTCAATCTGTCTGGATTTGATCCTGAGTCCCCTAGAGCAGTAGGCTGCCACCTTAACCACTTGGCCATCTGGCCATCATAAGTCATATTTATAATAAATGTAACATTTATTATCAATATAAATGACTTATTATGAAATTTTATTAAATTTTACATATAAATTTTCTATTAATAAATATAATTTTTTTGATAATAAAATAATGCTAAGTGACTGATTTGTTAGTGACAAAGTATAAATTCAGATATTTAAATCGTAAATCCAACAGGATATCTAAAACTCAGGTTTGGCTGTCTTAATGGACTTTCTAATTGGAACATTCAGTATGAATCTAAATAGTGTGAATTCAGTTTTTATTTAGGATGAAATTTATTTTGTTTATTTGTATCTTGTTTCTTTTCCTACATATGGAAACATGTTTTGTACATTAGTTTTTATATACATTTTCTAAATTTATTAAAATATAATTTTACAGTATTTAGAAGCCTGATGCAATTTTAAAATGATTATAAACATTTTCTTAATAATGTTTTAATTTATGAAATAATTAACTAACTTATGTATTTTTTTTATTACAGTTTTTAACAAGCAACATTTTACTTATTGGTAACTTGATGTGCTTCTATAATATGCCATATAACAATAGTTTTTTTTACCTGAATAGTTAGAATGATTATTGTGTTTTCATATGTATAACCTGTGGGTTATGTATTTAAAAGACAATTTGAAAAGGATGTGGGTTATGCAGTTTGGTGGGTTACATGCTTATTTTAAATAACTATTCTGAACTCACACTTAGAGCAATCACTTTTCATAGACATGGGGTATATGGTATGGCATTATACACAAAAACATATGGTAATAACTTTTATTTTGTTATATATTTGATATTATTTATTGCATTTATCTAAAGTAAAAATCTAATTATGCCAATATCATATATTATTAAGACATTTTATAAATCTGTAATTATTGATAAAGATATATTAGTAATTTCCTATACTAAACCCCTGAAACATATTTCACATATTTTAAATATTCCATTATAGACTGTCACTATTTCACTCAGAATTTTATAATATAGTCCTATCTTATCATAATTATTTTAGGATTTTCTTTTTAAAAATTCTTTACAAAAATACTGCAATTTTTTAGATATATATCAAAGCATTTTTATATTTTGGACAATACCTTTTTTAAAGTTTAAGATATTGAGAATGCAGTAAAAAGTTTAATGCTTTGTAAATTTATGCTAAGTACTAATCAGAATTATATTAATATAACTAATATTATTAAGTTAGTTAATATGTAGCATAATTATCCTCTTCTCTCCCATTTCTTTCTTCATATTGATGTACCAGGCAATCATAATTAAAGTACTCCTATTTAACACTGTCTAGAGATATTTTTAGTAGTCCAAATGCAACCAAATTTGATATTGTGACATTTCAGAACATGTGGAAGACATTTCTATATAAAAGAAAATGAGTACCAAAACTCACCACTATGACACTTTTGGCACTGAAAACAACAAAATAACAGTTTCCTTTGCATAAGTATGTGTTACAGCAGAGATCTGGATATAAAAGTGGCCACAACTATCTATTGAATACCGTTCATACCAGCTACAATGGCCATCATTTTGTTGAAAAATAAATTGCTTGTGAAGCAATTTTTTTGCTGCATTTTAGGAATTTTGCCATCATAAGAATTTATGCCAAGAACCATTGACTCCATAAGCCTCATGAGAACAATCATTTGATTTGAGAAAACTGGATGTCTGGAAAGTCAACCCAATTCACAAGTCATTGAAAATGTTACCACCATAGTTATTGAATAGTTAATGAGCCTGCAAGATTATTAAAGTGAAGTATCACAGCAATAGTATTTGCCATTTTGCAATCTTGTACGTGTCATCAACAGAAAACCCAACAGACCTTTGCATTGACCTGTGACCAAGGAAGATCCTGTTGAGCAATGAAGAATATTTTTACCTAGTTGGAACAGTGAATACTCATAATATTGTATTTGGGCCATTTAAACCCTCATGTTTTCCAACATTCCACTGCATTCACCTAAAGTTATAGTCTGGTGTGGATTCACAGCCACACTTATTCTTGGACCATTCTACTTTGAAAAAGCTAGTCCCAATGGGCCTGTGACATGTTCTATGAAGACTCAGAGATATTTAGAGATGCTTAACACTTTTGTTATACCCCAACTGCAACAGCAGCAATGTTTTGAGTCAACCACTTTTGTGAAAGATGGAGTACTTACACACATCAGATACTGCATACATAGTTTCTCAACATTTCACCAGTAACAGAGTGATTAGTTGGGCATTTCCTATTGTGTGGACATCTTGTTCTCTAGATCTTAATCCATGTGATATTTGGTTGTGGAACATTTAAAAAGTGTGATTTATTGTAAACATGTTCCAAATTTGAAAGTCTTGAAAGACAGTATCAACTGCATGTGAGAAGCACTGTATAGAATCAATAGTTAGCCATTGAACAAACTGTTCATCACCTTCAGATTTTACATTTTCGGAATGGGGACACATTGAGCAGTATTTTTAGCATTACTAAGTTCTCTATATTGCATAAGTGTGCAACTTATACTACAAATAAGCTGTTGCTTTCAGCACCAAAGGTGTCATAGTGGCAAGTTTTGATAATTTTTTTTTTATCAAAATGTTTTCCATATGTCACTATATTAGATTTAGTTGCATTTGGATTGCTACATATCTCTCTAGATAGATTTCAGTAGAAATATTTTAATTACTCTTACTTGATATATAAAAACACTAAATATTTGGCAAAAATCATTATATATGACTAAGTATTTAATTCTAAATCAAATCCTAAATATATTTATTTTGAATGTTTCAGATATCAAAAATTAAGAAACTTAAAGAAGAATGTAAAATTAATTTTTCAAATCTTAAGGATTTAGAAAAGTATGTCATAGTTTTATTTTATCTATTTGAGAATAGTAAATTATTGGTTTCATATTCAATTCTTTTCATAGTTTTACATATAATTTTTTTAATATATATCTGTATTAAAAAAATTATATGTAAAACTATATATATATATATATATTATACTGGAAATCATAGTTTCTTATTATTATTTTTATATCTTCCTATATATATAGGAAGATATATTGTATTAAATTGTTATCCAAATGTCATTTACTCAAAGATAACATTTGTGTAGATGACATTTGAATAATAAGAAACTATGATTTCCAGTATAATTAATATATAGAATATTCATGGTTTTAGTTTGTTCAAATTAATGCAAAATTCAATAAAGATAAATCTTGAATTTATTTTTTCAATCTCTCAGGCAAAGGTAACATGATACAAATTATGTATAATTCAAACTGGAAAGTAAGGATGGAGATACTGTGTCATAGTAGTCAGTAGATGATTCTAGCCATGGTCTCATTCGGACATAGACATCTATTCGAAGTTGTCTCGAGCTTCTACAATAAAGCCATGGTCTCATTCTGACATAGACATCTATTTGAAGTCGTCTGGAGCTTCTACAATAAAGAAATATTATGTCCACTGGCAAGAAAGGACTAGCATCAGAATATATCATTAGTTTGCCCGGCAAGAAAGAACCAGCATCAGAATATATTAGTTCAGCCAACAAGGAAGAACTAGCATCAGAATGGTCCCCCGAAAAAGCCAGCCATATATTCCACTGGCGGCTAAAGTGTGCTCTGTCCGCTATGGAAGAAAGCAGAAATTTTAATAAAAATTTAAAAGAACAATCACGCAGCGCTATCGTTGAGGCAGCCGCCATATTCGACGGCCTACACAAGGCATTCAATAACCTCCTCAAAGAAAAAGATTTACTACAGAAAAAGCTCAACGGTTCCCAGGGGACTTTGGCACTCGCGTGCCACCACATGCCCCCAGTAAAGTCCTATGCGGATGTGGTTAAAGGACCTCTATGTACGGCCAATGATAGGGTAGTTTTAATCTACCCAAAAGAGGAGAATAAAGCAGATGAAGTAATGGATAAACTGGAAAAAGACATAAATCCATCTAATATTGGGGTCGGAGTCGACACCATAAAGAAAATCAAAAACAGCTTCGCTGTGAGCTGCAGTGATGCCGACAGCACATCCAAACTATCAAAAGAACTGCAGAAGAATAAAGAAGTGGAAATAAAAACACCTAAGCTCAGGGACCCGAGAATTATTATACCAAAGGTCAACTGGGCTGTGTCTGAGAAGGATATCAGAGACTGTGTCCTCAGACAGGAAAATAAAAAGTACTCTCCTGATCACATAAAACATGTCTTCTTTCTTGGAAGAGAAGAGCATCAGGAGCGCTCTTGGATAGTAGTAACTTCACCTGAGATCAGAAGGACTCTAGCTGAACAAAAAGACAGGCTTTACATTGGATGGAGGACGAGGAGGATATACGATTTCCATTACTACAAAAGATGCTCGATCTGCTGAGGGTACAACCACACAAGGGCCACATTTACAAACCACCCTCAATGCTCCGAATGTGGATCCGACCAACATACTTCATATGACTGCACTGTGGAACCCGAGAACCATTCTTGTATTAATTGCTTACGTTACAATCAGTCATGCCGTTCTCCAAAGGACCATGTAAATCTAGGACACGGAGCTCGAAGTAGGCATTGTCCGGTCCTACAATATCATGTAAAACTGAGTCAAACTTCTACAAATTCCTGCACCGATTCTCTCTTCATGTGCGTCGATTAGTGCTCTAAGTCTAAACGGCTTCTAGCAGTGCACGGACCTTCTGATTAATATAGCCTTCTACTTTTCATTGTGCCAGCTTCTTAGCCAAATTCTCTCTTTCTATCTAGCTAATTAACAGCATCTTCTGATACACAAAACTATCTAAAATATCCCATCCATCGTTAATTGGTAACTTTAAACTAAGGCATTATTTATAAGGGTTTTTCTGTATTTGTTCCAGCCGCCATTCTAACTAAATTTGATGTGGTTTGATTTGATCTGATTCGGGGGTCCCTATCTGCGAAGCGTGCTCAGCTCTATGTGTCTCGTAACAATCTAAACAAATTAATGTTCCCTAGGTTGTCACTTAAGCAACACTTATTTAGGATTAAGCACAGTTTCAGACCCTAGAAATAAAAGAAATAGTTTATATTCTAACCTTAGCTGATATCACAAAAATGTCTTTCCATCCTTAAATTATAGACCCAAGTCAGTAGTAAATAAGTTATAAGAAATAAAGCAAACCATACTTGATTCTGTCTGTAAATCCCTATATTAATTAAGCAAATTTAAAGACTCTAGCAAATAAGTTTACCAATATTAGACAAATCCTGGTTATCTAACTATCTAACCTGTTGCTGTTTGGTTAGCCTGCGTTCCCTCCTCACCCCTTATAATCTGCTGTATGCTAACCTCTCGTTCTCTATTCCATCATTAAATTAAGCTGTCTTGCTGTGCCCATTTAATAAACGCCTAAGTATTTTTAAAATTAACAAATATTAAACAAATGAAAATAGAGTAATTAGCTAAAATAGAATAAAATGTAAAATTAAATTCACGCATTCTGGTACTTTCTCTCACTACAAAATCCTATTATTCCTATATAATTAACTGCGTAGTATCTAATAACAGAATCTCCAACTATTTCATTTTGATTAAATTAATAACTAAGCAATCTCTATATATATATTTAGTATCCTTCGAGATAATTAAGGTTAATAGGAACCCTCTTTCAAATCATCACTAATGATTTTGTCTCTAGTTAATTACCAGTTATCTAACAAGTCTCCTAGTTCAAATTTAATTTACATTTACAATAACTTCTAGTATTTATTATGATTTATTATAATGTACACAAACATATTATAAACACACTACATACACTACACCTTCACTTAATTACTACTTTTCACCTTCTTACCCATTCCTCTCCTTAGTTTTTGGTACCTCTTATCCTATTCCTCTACCGAAATAAATTCTTTAATCAATTCTAATGAATAAAAATATATCATATACACATCACAATTTTGTCTCTAATTAAATTATCAGAAATCTCACTAATGCATAGTCTATACTCATCATGCCATCTTTCCTTTACTATTTTGTAATGTTCTGTTTGTATGTCTGTATTTTGTATTTTTATACCTTGTACTTTTGTACTTCTCATCCATTGTAAATACTTACTTTGTCTTCCTTCTCTTATCATTACTTTTGTGCTGTATTGATATATTTGTATGTCAAAAAATTTCATAAAACCTCTGGTTCGGCCCTGTTTCACCAGCCTTTCTGGAGGGTAAAAAAAATTTATATATGTATGTATATGTGCTCTTGGATAGTAGTAACTTCACCTGAGATCAGAAGGACTCTAGCTGAACAAAAAGACAGGCTTTACATCGGATGGAGGACGAGGAGGATATACGATTTCCATTACTACAAAAGATGCTCGATCTGCTGAGGGTACAACCACACAAGGGCCACATTTACAAACCACCCTCAATGCTCCGAATGTGGATCCGACCAACATACTTCATATGACTGCACTGTGGAACCCGAGAACCATTCTTGTATTAATTGCTTACGTTACAATCAGTCATGCCGTTCTCCAAAGGACCATGTAAATCTAGGACACGGAGCTCGAAGTAGGCATTGTCCGGTCCTACAATATCATGTAAAACTGAGTCAAACTTCTACAAATTCCTGCACCGATTCTCTCTTCATGTGCGTCGATTAGTGCTCTAAGTCTAAACGGCTTCTAGCAGTGCACGGACCTTCTGATTAATATAGCCTTCTACTTTTCATTGTGCCAGCTTCTTAGCCAAATTCTCTCTTTCTATCTAGCTAATTAACAGCATCTTCTGATACACAAAACTATCTAAAATATCCCATCCATCGTTAATTGGTAACTTTAAACTAAGGCATTATTTATAAGGGTTTTTCTGTATTTGTTCCAGCCGCCATTCTAACTAAATTTGATGTGGTTTGATTTGATCTGATTCGGGGGTCCCTATCTGCGAAGCGTGCTCAGCTCTATGTGTCTCGTAACAATCTAAACAAATTAATGTTCCCTAGGTTGTCACTTAAGCAACACTTATTTAGGATTAAGCACAGTTTCAGACCCTAGAAATAAAAGAAATAGTTTATATTCTAACCTTAGCTGATATCACAAAAATGTCTTTCCATCCTTAAATTATAGACCCAAGTCAGTAGTAAATAAGTTATAAGAAATAAAGCAAACCATACTTGATTCTGTCTGTAAATCCCTATATTAATTAAGCAAATTTAAAGACTCTAGCAAATAAGTTTACCAATATTAGACAAATCCTGGTTATCTAACTATCTAACCTGTTGCTGTTTGGTTAGCCTGCGTTCCCTCCTCACCCCTTATAATCTGCTGTATGCTAACCTCTCGTTCTCTATTCCATCATTAAATTAAGCTGTCTTGCTGTGCCCATTTAATAAACGCCTAAGTATTTTTAAAATTAACAAATATTAAACAAATGAAAATAGAGTAATTAGCTAAAATAGAATAAAATGTAAAATTAAATTCACGCATTCTGGTACTTTCTCTCACTACAAAATCCTATTATTCCTATATAATTAACTGCGTAGTATCTGTTGTATACAAATGTTGTGATGATGGTGGTGGTGTAGAATGTTTTCGTATAGACAGTCAAAAAGAACACAGTACACGCTTCTTTTTAACAATAACAACACAAAAATTAAAAACACTTTAATTTCTTCAAATCAGCGAGTGACTCTCTGGCACTCCACTACTTTTTGATAGTTACAATACTGGACCAGCCACACAGCTACTCACTCCGGTTAGCTCCCTGGTCAGTACACACACTCTCTCTGACTCTCTACACACCCTCACTAGGCGGGACAATCTCCCCCACACTCCCGGGGACACCGTCACCTCACCCAACCGACATGTGTGACCAAGCTGTGGACTGTCCATCACCACCTGCCGACATCCACACACCTGACACATGTCTCACATATGTTACACTGAACTTAACAT